CTACACTCCCTTCCCCATTTACGAAACCTATCTCTAAACTGTCGCTATTTAAAATTGGCAAAAATTTTGCAGATTTCCATTTTTCAATTTCACTAGGTTAGATCCTTTAACACCCCAAACCCGACACGCCACATCCACAAGTTCGAATCATCCTTATTATTTCCGAATGGCATTTATATTATAAAAGTTCCATTCCGACAGCTTCTTTTCAAGAACCGTAACATCGTAGTTAAAGGTTGTATATATATTCTCGTGTAACGCGTCTATGTACTCAGACGAGTTTACTACCCAAAGATAGGTAAATTCTGGTAGCATAGTCGTCCTATATACAGTGGTCACTTCTTATGACATTGACACCCATCTCTATGCAGTGGACTCTTCTGTTAACACGGTCTCACATCTGTGTAGTGGACAGTTCTGGTAATATAGTGGCCCATCTTTTTGTAGTGGACACTTCTCGGAATATAGCCGCCCATCTCTATGCAGTGGATACTTATGGCAAAACATCCTCACATCTGTGTAGTGGACACTTGTGGTAACATAGTGGCCCATCTGTATATAGTGGACACTTCTCGTAATATAGTCGCTCATCTCATCCATTTCTGGTAACACAGTCTGCTATCTCTATCTAGTGGACACTTCTGCTGACATGATCACCCATCTCTATATAGTGGTCACCTCTGTTAACACAGCTGCACATATCTATGTAGTGGACACGTATTGTAGCATAGCTGCCCATCTTTCTGTAGTGGAAACTTCCTCTAATAGTGTCGCCCATCTCAATGTAGTGGACACTTCTGGTAGCACTATGTAGTGGACACTTCTGGAAATATAATCGCCCATATTTATGTAGTAGACACTTCTAGTAACATAGTAATTAATATCTATGTAGTGGGCACATCTGGTAACGTAGTAAATGATCTCTATGTAGGGGACACTTCTGGTAATATAGTCCCCCATCTCTCTGTATTGGACACGTCTGGTAACAGTAATTAATATCTATGTAGTGGACACTTCTGATAACATAGTAATTAATCTCTCTGTAGTGGACACATCTTCTAAAATAGTAATTAATATCTATGTAGTGGACATTTCTAGTAACATAGTAATCAATCTCTCTATAGTGGACACTTCTGGAAATATAATCGCCCATTGCTATGTAGGAGACACTTCTGGTAAAATAGTAATTAATCTGTATGTAGTGGACAATCCTGGCAACATAGTCACCCATCTCTATGTATTGGATAATTCTGGTAATATAGTAATCAATCTCTATGTAGTGGACACTTCTAATAACAGAGTAATTAATCTCTATGTACTGGGCATTTCTGGAAATTTAGTCCTCCATCTCTCTGTAGGGGACAATTCAAGTAACATAGTAGTTTTCTCTGTGTAGCGGATTCGTCCAGTAACATAGTAATTAAACTCTCTGTAGTGAAACTTCCAATAATTAATCTCTGTATAGTGGGCACTCCTAGTAACACAGTAATTAATCTCTATGACATTACTGGAAATATAGTCGCCCATATCTATGTAGTAGACACTTCTGGCAACATAGTAATTAATCTCTATATAGTGGACACGTCTGATATCATAGTAATTCATCTCATTATAGTGGACATTTCTGATAACATAGTAATTAATCTCTATGTAGTGGGCACTTCTGGTAACATAGTAATTTATCCCATTATAGTGGAGATTTCTGGTAGAATAGTAATTAATCACTATGTAGAGGTCATTTCTAGAAATATAGTCGCCCATAACTATCTAGTAGACACTTCTGGTAAGATAGTAATTCATCTCTGTATAGTGGACACATTTGGTGAGATTGTAATTAATCTCTATGTAATGGACACTTCTGGTAACATAGTAATTAATCTCTATATAATCGAGAGTTCTGGTAACATAATAATTAATCCCTCTGTAGTGGACACTTTTGAAAATATATTCGCCCATCGCTATGTAGTAGAAACGTCTGGTAACATAACATAGTAATTAATATCTATGAAGTGGACACATCTGGTAACATAGTAATTAATCTCTATGTAGGGGTCACTTTTCGTAATATTGTAATTAATCATTAAGTAGTGGGTACTTCTGGTAATATAGTCCCCCATCTCTCTGTATTTCTGACATCTAGTAACATAGTAATTAATCTCTGTATAAAGGACACGTCTGCTAAGATAGTAATTAATTTTTAAGTGTTGGACACTTCTGGTAATACTGTCGTCCATTTCTATCTTATGAACACTTCTGCTAACATAGTAATTAATCTCTATGTTGTGGACATTTGTGGACATTTCTCCCATATCTATGTAGTAGACACTTCTGGGTAGATACTAATTAAACTCTGTATAGGGGTTACGTCTGGTAAGATAGTAATGAATCTCTATGTAGTGGGCACTTGTGGTAACATAGTAATTAATCTCTATGTAGTGGACACTTCTGGTAACATAGTAATTAATCTCTATGCAGTGGACACTTCTGGTAACATAGTAATTAATCTCTATGCAGTGGACACTTCTGGTAACATAGTAATTAATCTCTATGTAGTGGACACTTCTGGTAACATAGTAATTAATCTCTATGTAGTGGACACTTCTGGTAACATAGTAATTAATCTCTATGCAGTGGACACTTCTGGTAACATAGTAATTAATCTCTATGTAGTTGACACTTCTGGTAATATAGTAATTAATCTCTATGTAGTGGACACGTCTGGTAACATAGTAATTAATCTCTATGTAGTTGACACTTCTGGTAATATAGTAATTAATCTCTATGTAGGCGACACGTCTGGTCACATAGTAATTAATCTCTATTTAACAATAAGTGCTGTGCCAAACTAGAATTAACATTTAATAAGCATTGTAGCATACATGTGTTATGTTGTATCTATACGGTCACCCATCTAAGGTACTGCATAGAATATTGTTGCTCAACTGCTCTGATGCATTCAGCGTAACTTGACCGCAAACAAACTGTTTTACCAAATGTTTTACTAAATTGTAATCTAGCAAAATATCACAATTCACAGCCATCTATTGAGGACCAAAGTCACTAACTTCACTAATTGATAACTTTCCCGCTACTGCAGACAATTTTTTTATATCTACTAATCTTACATTCAAACAGTTGAATACCACAGCTGTTGGGCACCTGGTGTGGATCTATCTCACCTATTACTAATCGGCGAGACTAGCTTTACTTATAGTCACAGCACAATCGGCGTCCGTCGTTGTTGGTTAAAGTGCCAAAAATTCGATATTTTACCAATAGCATTTCAGGTTCGATTAGTTGTTTGTGTGTGTGTGTGATAGTGGTAAGTGATTTCGTCCCTTGGTGCCACAAAAATTCCATTAACAGACGAGCAACAAAGTAATCAGCAGCTCTGAGGCTAGACATTATTTGTCGACGCTCCAACGCAGGCCATTATTTGTCGACGGTCCAAGGTATTTTGGGAGAAACAAAAACAAATAAAGAGAGACACCTTCTCAAAATATACCAAATAACTCCTAAATTCTGGCCGTATCGATTGTTAACATTGGTGTTTTTGTTCTTTCTTATTTTCCTAATTAGCAGTATATTTAATAATACAGATTCTCTTTTGGCGTTAAAACCAACTAGGCAACAAGGAAGTGTTATATATATATATATATATATATATATATATATATATATATATATATATATATATATATATATATATATATTTGTATTTGGACAACTCCCTTTTTATACAGGTTTCATTAAAAACGACTAACAAGTTACTTTGGTTAAGTTTTTATTCAGTTTTACGATTGTTTATAATTGTTTTCTTTTCTGGACATAAATCATGTAGAAATTGTCCGAATATTCTGTATGCCCGACTGTTTTCGGCTAGAATATTAGTCATTATCAAGGATGATTTTGTTTTTACTTTTAACTCAGTGCATGGATTCTTTTATGTTTTATGTATCTAGAATTATAGGAATGTTTTATTTTCCAAACACGACCAGTATATTTTGGCCGTCTTCATAATTGATTTTATTGAATGTTCGTTTGTTTGTTTTTTGTTTGTTTTTTTTTTATTAACAATGCTCTGTAAAAATACGTAAAAATCAATATTATTTCCGAATTTATATATTCTTTAAGGAACTGTGTTCCTGATTAATCCAAATTCATGAATAGTTGTATAGGATATACTACAACATGCCTAACAAGAAGACTCTCGTTACATCTCCCTGAACATAGCTCAGTTAGGTCTCATATAAATACACATGGTGACCTACCAAACTCTATCCGTAACATACACGTTAAAAATACAAATATAATAACCTCAACTACATGTAAAAAAGGCCCCAAACTAAGTAGGAAACAAGGAGGTGTTATATATATATATATATATATATATATATATATATATATATATATTGCACAACAGAGAAATCAAAAATTACCTCATGGGTATAGCTATTGCAACCGACGCCGAATGTCGAATATGATGTAATTTATATGCTCCGTTATAAATACATTGAGTTCTCTTTGTGGATAAGTTTTAATATTTCATATTATTAGAACCCACTTGGATTATATACCAACGGATTTTTTTACCTGTTTTATATATATATATATATATATATATATATATATATATATATATATATATATATGTATGTGTGTGTATGTAGAAACCATCACTTTTAACCGAATAAACTCAGAATGCGTGATATATTGATTCACTGATAGGTTTTTTTTACCATTATCATTCCTTTGTAGGTTATTTAACGCCATAAAATACTTTTAGATTTTAAGACTTTTGGTTGGCGTAATAATATTGTTTTAATGATACAATTCTTACTAATTAACCCACAGCAAGGGGAGAAGATGTTGATTTATACCTTTATCAAATGTATTTCTGCGCAAGTGAATATAACGAACCCAACGGGAATTGGAACTCGGATCTCTGACTAACAATTCCGAGCCATTATCTATTACACCATCCGCACATCGAAGCTTTTAGCACCTGGATTTCCCGACCGGTCACCTATTTCGGTACTGACCAGGCTCGATGTGGCTTAACTTCAGTGATCGTACGGGAACCATGCACAATATAGATAGACAATGAAAGATGTGATACACAAATCAAGTAGAGAGAACTCCTTAGCCTAGGAAGGCTGTCCATTTTAACATTCTGGTTTCAAATCTCTTGCAATCATTCATAATCATGGGGAAATGCTTCGTGAATATACTTTGAGTATAAAATCTGAAGCCGGAGCCCAAAAGGGAGTTTGATGTTGAATCTCTTTCATAATGTCGCTGATGTGTTGCAAGGGCCACTGTTGATATTTAATGAAATGTCCTGCCGAGGCTTGCTCCCCGGAGAAGACAGTGCAGCGCCGATTCGATTGGTAGGACAGATGCTGCACGACCACTACTAGCTGAACGGTTTACTACGGCGATCATTAAATATTTTGTGAAAAATATTCTTGTTTCTTTAACTTTGCTGACAATAGCATTTGATAAAAATCCATAAAATTAACGGCGTTTACTTCGTTTTATGCTTAACATCCCATAAAAATATAACACCCCATAAAAATATAACATCCCATAAAAATATAACACCCCATAAAAATATAACATCGCATAAAAATATAACACCCCATAAAAATATAACATCCCATAAAAATATAACACCCCATAAAAATATAACATCGCATAAAAATATAACACCCCATAAAAATCCTTGACAGCTATGGAAACTGCAGGAAGTGTTCTTGAAAATCTGGTCATCGTTGAATGCTTTTTTCTATTCCGTTGCCAGAGTTTACCTCAGCGACACTCAATTTTTAGAAAAAGTCTTCCACAATAATTTTCTGAAGTTCTCTGTGAGCACAGTAGCCAAATTTTGATCTGGCCATGTATCATCTTAAGCGTCACAGCTACCGAAACCGCTCTACCAAGAGAAAGTAGTTGTTCCAGGAATCAACAACCATGAACAAAGGATTCTTCATTTGATAATTGACAACAATCCATTGTCTTCATTGTTTTCCCCGATGACAGCACAAAATCTGACGGTGATAATATTTCTTGATTATTTCGTTGACGGCAGCACTGAAGTGGCATCCTGTGGGGGAAGACAAACACATCGTAGCCTCGTTTGACGATTTTAATTGTTTGCCTTTCATACTCTCTGACCTCTTGTTGTCATCAATAGATCACGTTGTTTGAGCGCAATATTTGCCAGATGTGTTCGGATGGCAGGTATGAATTTTTTTTTTTATCGTTTCACCCCAAGCAAGGTGATAACGCAACTAGAACGCAGGTAGTTACAGGGAATGAAAGTGAAAAAACTGAGAATGAAGAGGATTAAGGAAAGGACAAACAAGGAACAGGGTTGAAGAAGACAGAGATGGTGATTGAAATTGCATTTACATTTTTGAATATCTTAGTTATCAGGGAAGCAAGAAATCGGAAGGGACTTCCACAGTTTGGTTTGTTTTATTTGTTTAAGGGCATATCAACATCCTTATGGGTCATTTAATGCCAAAATTTAACTTTCTTGGGATCTTTGAAATCATAAAATTATGATATACGTTATTCTGCTTTCACAATTGAATTCATGGTAGGTGATACTCAGATTTTGCGGACATACACGTTTGTTTGAACATAATTACTAGAGGGGCTTTTTGTGCGTTTTATTTTGTATTCTTGTTATATTTTGGCATACAGTTTTATTTCTTTAAGAAATTGTAGGATATTATATGGATTAATGTCAGGAAAGAGTTCTTTCATGTTGGTTGCTTGGCTAATTTTGTTTAGCGGCATATCAACACCTCTATGTGTTATTTAATGCCGAAATCTAAATATTTTATATTTTTTTATGGCTTCAACTACAGGTAAAATCTATTGTTATTTTTGGTCATTTTTGCTAAAGAATGGATTTCTACACTTTCATACTGTTTTTTGTGTTTTGAGGTTCACTATTTGTCCATAGCTGGGACCCTAACAGGTGCTACCACCTCGGGTCATAGTGGACCTTAGATAAACAGAGAAACCTCCAATCTCCCAATCAGATGCCTTGCAGCCAGATGTAGTTTATCGTCATACCCATGACTGGAGTTCAACAGGAAGTACGAGAAAATAAACTGTTAGAGTAGAAGTGGCGGTTAGATTTAGTTATTTCAACAGTAAAAGGGTGGGACCTAATTGCCAATCATGATGGTGAGAAAGTCATTGAAGCCGAGGTGCCTGGTCAGGATCGATTACATTAAAGATCCTAGTTTGGATTTTGTCAAAAATATCTAGATGTACAGCAGGAGCAGTAGACCGGATATGACAGCAGTATTCAATGTTTCCTGAAACCAGGATGACAAAAGTTGATATCCCAGCATTGTTTTAAGATTTTTTCTTCACAGGAAACACGTTCTTGTAATCGTTTTCGAAGCAATGTGGTTTAGAATAATTCACGATGTACATGTATTTAGAGATATAATACAAAGAAGAATCTGCAATGTTATCAGTCCTGACATGGCATTCAGTCACTTTCTACTGTTGTAAGGTTGCTTCTTTATGACTTTTCTATAAATATGTTCATAGTACCTTTTCTGATCTGCTTTCCTCGACTTTACGAAGTTAAACGCAGTACTAGATTGGCGTCTAGGTCTCATTGTTCTAGAGTTGAAATTGTTAGATATAACGGTAAGTTCTATGCTAACAATTTCCTCTCTCGCACTTCTTGCTTGTGGAAATCTCTCCCGTTCTTTTGCTTGCCAGTCAATTTTGATCTTCAAAAAATTAAATGCAATGTCAATCGTTATCTTTTGTCTTCTTAATTAATGTTCTATTATTTTCACGTCGTTATAACGTTTTCATTTCTCTTCACACAGTAACTCCTTGCGTCTTAGTGGCTTTATTCCCTTGCTTGGGATTAAATGATGAAAAAAGAAAGAAAAAAAAAAGAATTGGTAGTTTTGGAATGTCGAAAATTGATCCTTTTCTACTTGTGCCCGGATGCTTGGTTTACTTCAGTGGATGCAAGTATTTTGTTCGGCAGTGCATGCCAAAAGAAGTCACGGTTTTATGCTGTTGCTCATCCAGTAGAAGGCCCAAGAGCCACTCAAAGTATAGGATTATTGGATAATAATAATGGATGTTCTTTTGGAGGCAAGGATTTTTTTTTTGCAATATGGATTTTATTTCTAATGGGGACGTGAATGTAACTTCCATTGATAAATTTCCCAATCTTCAGTTTAGTTTTCTTGACATCCGACATTGTTTCTTGTTGCCCTTTCACCATAATCCGAACGATATACAAAACTTCTTTTCTGTCCGACTGTCGACACAACTCACATTTTCTTAAGAAACTTGGAAACAGCAAGACGTACGCAGGAGAAATTCGTAGAGTAAATGAAAACTAATAAATTAAACTAATAAATACTTAATCGTATTTTTATACCCTTTAATATGGGTTTCTTCTTAGGCATTTTTATTTTAAATTTATTTCAACACTAGCAGCCATACCCAGCTGGTCGATCAGAAAAAGTATTCAATTAGAATGGAGCAAAAACAGCATCATGTTTAGATGTAACAGAATCTATCTTCTTCAATTACGTTAAAGTACTTTCATTAAAAAAACATTTTGAAGTAATGCAGTTACTGATATAACAGAAGTAGTCTGTATTTATTCAATCGAAGGAAGCCGAGGACATGAAGGAGTAAAACAGGCAACATGAAGACCCACTTCAAACCACAATTATTTTGGAGTTTTCGAAATTGAATTTATCAGTGTGCTACATGTGATGTAAAAGAGGATACATTTATAAAGCAATTGTTAAGTTTTGATGATAATTGGTTGAAAGATCAAAAATAAGAAAGAAACCAGTAAAAATCGCCAGTTTTCGCTATTTACGCGAGTTTTTACTATATGGGTGAACTCAATTATCAATTTAAATGACTGTTAAACAATCAACTTATTGTTGGCTACAACTGAGTGAAGTTTGTATTAGATTGCTTGAAAATTGGGGGAGTTTTTACATTTAAATTTGTGTTGAAATCGATTTTTCGATTTTCGCGGTTTTTTGCTAAACACAGTGGCGTATAAATAAAAATGAGGTATCGTTGAGCTCGTCATGATGTAAGTAACCTAGATATCGAGTTTGAACGAAATCGGAGGAAAAAGTTGAATTTATCGATTTTTGACCGGCTTTATCGATTGTTGATTTTAAAAAAATTCGATTTTTTACGTTATGAACCTATCACTTACTTGTACAATGTATGTGCCAAGTTTGATCATAATCGGTTTTAATGGATCTTGAGTGAAAAGGTATCCCACAGACACACACACAGACACATAAACATCCTCTGTTTTATATATAGAGAGATTGTTTAAAGTGTCCGAATGTCGAGCAGCTGAATTCTCGTCTATTGTGATGAACGTGTGTTTTTTCAGAGAGGTCTCCTACCTTGAGCGCATATTTGACCTAATCTCAACCCAGACTACATCTGAAACATACTATCCATCGTACATGCATCCATCGTCCATACGAGCTATTGCTAAAGATGCAGGAAAAATGGTCGGTTCTCTGTACTGTTCCAGTAAGAACCTGACTCTTCGTGCCATCCCCGTTACCACTAGAAGAGCCAGACCAGACCTAAAATGGAGTACGGTTGTCATATCTGGGCCAGAGCTGTCAGGTCTTTACTTTCCAGTCTTGATAGAATCAAAAAGCGTCTCCGCGTCCTTGTGGGTGATGAATTATTTTTACACTGCAACTCCATCCTTACAGCCGAAACGCTGTAAGCCTCTCGCTACTTTATAGCTATTTTCACGGAAAGTGTTCAGACGATCTACATTCCTTAGTTTCACCAGTTTAAACCTTCAAGGCTAAGACCCGTCATACCCCGCCCATTGTAATGAACCACCCTCATTCCGTTCCTATTCCACTGGTGAGATGTAAGTTCAAGTAGAACAGCTTCTTTCACTAACTACTACTTTGTGGAACCAACTCCCAAGAGGATGCTTCTCCGATCGCTGCAACATTAAACTGTTCAAGTCTAGGGTTAACTGTCATTTTCCCCACATATCCCTATAAAATGTGCCGC